TTGACCTAGCTCAGTTTGCCATTTGCTCTCTCTGGGATTGAATATCCTTATTTGTAAACTTCTTTGGATTTTGTCTAAATCATTTATAATATTCCTGTTATTTCTAGAATTGCATGTGAATAGTATTAGAACATTGGGTTTTAGTTAAGGACTTTCCTTATTTGGCAAATAGTATTTACTATCTACACTCAATATTTTAGGTAAAGCAAGGGACAAAAGTACTGATTGAAAGATAATTTTTAGTTTTCCCTTGAATTGTTATTTCAAAAATATTCTCCACAGCCACCTCTTTAAAAATAGGAAAATAGATATCTTTTTGAGTTAAAGTTTTTGTGTCCTTGGGCAGATGCCTAGGAGTGGAATTGCTGGGTCATATGGTAGATCCATTTTTAGTAGTCTGAAGAATCTGAACCCCTATGCTTATTGCAGCACTATTTATAATAGGAAAGACTTAGAAACAACCCAAATGCCCAAAAATAGATGACTGGTCAAAAAAGATGTGATACATACACATAATGGAATACTATTCGGCAATCAAAAAAGATAAACTCATGCCATTCACAACATGAATGGAGCTGGAAGGGATTATGCTCAGTGAAATAAGTCAGAAGGAAAAATAAAACTATTGGATGATTTCACTATTATCCTCCTGGAAAATAGGGGAAACAAATAAAGGGTCCGGGAAAAAATAATAACAATTAAAAAAACACAACACAACAAAAATAAACAGACAACTATAAATCAGAGACATTCTGCAAGGGAGGGGGACGGACAGGGATTGAGATGGGGATGGGAGGAGCACAAGGGACTAGGGTAGTGGCCCACAGGTGAACTGCTGGTGGAAATTCTAAGGGGACTACACCTGAGAAAAGAAAGCAAACACTATAAAAAAGAATGAAAAATGAACAATGATGTAAAGTACAGATAAATTAAAAAACCAAAAAAAAAAAAAAGGAAAATAGAAATCAGAGTGAAAATTATGCTATCAGTGGCTAAAGGAACAGAATTTAGGAAACGAAAATAAAATTTTCTTTGTAAGGTGAAGAAGGAATTTCCACATAGGCATGGAAAATGCATGCAGGGGAAAAACAAAAATAGAAAAGAACTCATGGGGACAGTAAGTGGGAGAGCAAAATGTTAAAATGGGCAACAGCTCTGGCAGAATGCAACTGTGGATTCATTCTGGTTGCTGCAAAGAAACTGCTGCTCCCCCTTGTGGCATGTGTATAAAGTGACTATCCTGGTAAAGCAAAGAACGTCAGCCTCCCGGCAAAGCCAGATCTATTTGGATTACAGTGACACACTACTTTCAAGATGGAAATAATAGACATGTTCCAGTAGAAAAGGCAAGAAATTCATGTAAAAGCTTAAAATGACCAAGCGAAAGGGAAAACGATGTGAGTCTGTACCCAAATGGAGTCCCAGAAGTTGACTGTGTATGTGTAATTTGGTCAGTCAACACTGAATTAACACGTTTATCTGTGAACAATTTTGGAAGGTAATGAGAAGAGTTCAAGGTAATATAAGACAAAAATTTTTTCAGAAGTATTCCCTACACTTGGGAAGATAAAATGTAATATTCACAAGGCAGACTGGATGTTATAGAACAGGGAAGAATCCCCAAAGAAGGTTTTTTGCCCGGAATCTGAAAGGCAGGGGTGCTGGAGACAGGCATAGAATGATAAAGGCCAATGGAGTAGGAAAACATACAAACAGGAATTCAACTAATATTTCTAGAGTTTCTGTCTATTGCACAAAGACAAAAAAGAAAAATTGGCCAGATTAAGCAAGCCTGAGCTAGCTACTGGGACTATCTCCCATTTGTTCCATAGTTGAATAAATATTGAAGGTGTTTGAATAGAACAGTGGCATAGTGAGAAATATTTCATGAATCTGATCTGGGAAATGATATGCAATGAATTTCCTTTGCATATTAATTTAAATACTAGAAAAGTTGCAATTATTAATAAGCATTTCACCTATTGAATCCATCACTCCCTTTTCTCTTACTCTGCTTTTCTTCATATAATTTATCACTCCCTGATCTACTATTATGTATTTTCTGCTGTATTGCTCACTCTTTTTAGACATTCTATGAAGGTAGACTCTATCACTTTTGCTTGCTATTGTATCAATAACACCTATGGCAGTGGTGGACATTCGATAAATATTTGAATATATCATAAATAAATCTCTTCTGAAAGGTAAGTGGCTTGAGGCAAGGAAAACAATTAAGTGTTTGTCAAGATGTTAAAATTTGGCCTTAGGTAGAGGGGAAAAAAGGAGGAGAAAAAAGAAACATTAAATATTTTGAAAAGTGAATAAGACTTGATAATTCACAGAATATGAACAGTAAGGGCAAAAAAGGAACCCACTCTTGTGGAGGCTTCAAGGTCATATGCATGGGAGGATGGTGGTAACATTAGGAAAATAATTGGGCAGTCAGTTGGAAAGAATGTTTTGACTAGATAACAGATGAATCTCTGGACTAAAAAAAAATGTCTGGCTTGTTGACAGACAGAGATATATTAGAACCCAGGAGATAAGTTTACTTTGTAGTAGAGATGAGACCTGAACCATGAGTTTATACAGGATTTCCTTAGGGAAAGTTCTAGATTTACTAAGAAAGAGAATAGAGAGTCAAAGTTATGTAATAAGACCACCTTCAAAATTGACCTAAGCACTTTGACCTATTCATAAGTTGTACCTTCATCCCAATATATCTGTTGAGTCTTGACTAAAAGGAGGGAAAAAAAAAGTCTCTGTTTCTTGAGAATTCACTATCTAATAGGGGAGACAAACAAAAAGAAAAGTTTTATATGCATATCCCATCAAAATGAGTCAACCACCAAGCTCCAATTAATTGTGGACCTGGTGTTGCCAGATGTTATAAACTTTCAAGACAAAATGAATATTTTGTAAGAATTCCTAATACTGGAATTTAGACTTTGATTAAAATCTGTGATTCAAACAAAATATTTTTGCTCACTGCACTTAATTTGTAACTAGTCCTAATATAATTTCAATCAAGAAGAAACGTCTATCACCTTACCCCTTAAGTTGTTCAATCACAGGAGAGGATGTTTTAGTCCTATGACAATCAGATTAAACAATTTGGTAAGAAGAGATGTTTTAGGAAGGCCTTTGTATGCTGACAGATAAGATCACTCCTATTCGTGGGTCTATAAACATTTATCTATTTAATAAATATTTATAAATCCCATATGACGGGGTAGGCGTTCAATCCATAATGGTGAGCAAATTAGACAAATAAGAATTTTGTTCAGGCAAATTTCATCAGGTAGGAGAGGATGCAAGATCATTACCAATGGAAGGAAGAAAAAGTCTAACAGCTTTAATAAATAGCAACCAGGCAAACTGACTGCAACTGTTTCAATTTATAAGAAAGTAGGGAGAAGCAGTATTCCTCTCTGAAGAGTTATCTGTGTGTCTTGCCAGGGAAGGGAGATATAGACTGAAACAGGTCTTGAGTCTAGTGGCTTCTATATTTATTTAAGAAAATTTCAAATATTCAAACTGCAATTTTAAAATAAAGGTTAAAAAGAGTCACAGCTTATTTCAGAAATGTTCAGCAGGGATATATGAATAAAGGATTAAACTAAAAGTTTTCATATATACAAACGTGTTCTTTTTTTGGTTATACCATAGTATCAGTGGAATGAGACACATGATTAAGTTGGGACTGTATTACAATACTATGAACTAAAAAGGAAGCCAAATATGTTGAGAATAAGTTTTCTTTTTTTTATATTAATTTTAAAAATTTTTTACATCATTGTTCATTTTTAAACAATATTTGCTTCCCCCCACCCCCTCAGGCTAGTCCCCATAGAGTTTCCTTCACCAAGACACCGGTGCACCATCACCTCAGTCCCCTGTGCTCCTCCCTCCCTCCCTCTGATCCCTCTCCCTCCTCCTCCCCTGCAGGATGGCTCTGACTTGTGATCGTCCATTTTTGCTTTGTGATTTGTATTAAGTTTTTTTTCTTGGGAATTTCAGTCATTTTTATTATAGCAAAAATCTATGTACTATAAAATTTTCCATTTTCCCATTTTTAGGTGTAGAGTTGAGCAGTATTAAGTACATTCACATTGTTGTACAAACATCACCCACCAACCTCCTCAAGAACTATTTTTATCTCCCAAACTGAAATTCTGTGCACATTAAACAGTAACTCCCCCTTCTTTTCTGTGTCCAGGTCCTGGCAACCACCATTCTATTTTTTTTGTCTCTATGAAAACTGCTAATGAAATTGTACAATATTTCTCCTTTTTGACTGACTTGTTTCGTTTAGCATAATGTCCTCAAGTTTCATTCATGTTGTAGCAAATTTCCTTCTTTTTCAAAGATTGATTAACATTCTATTATATATGTATAATATGTGATATTTATTGTGTAATAAATGCATGTATGATAATCACACATATAGATAAATGAATATTATTCCATTATATGTATTTATACATGTATATAACATACATGTATATATGTGTATATGTGTGTATATGGATATACATGTATACCAGATTTGGATTTTCCATCCAACATTTGAGTTGCTTTCACTTTTTGGTTATAGTGAGGGATGTTGAGCATCTTTCTTGTGTTTTTTGGCCATTTGTGTAACTTCTTTGGAGAACTATCTATTTAAGTCCTTTTCCCATCTTTTTCTCTTTGGTCATTTTTGTTATGGAGCTGTAGACCTTTAATACCTTCTAGATACTAATCCCTTGTCAGAAATTTGAGTTACAAATATTTTCTCTCATTCTGTAGGTTGCATTTTTCACTATGTTAACAGTGTCTTTGATGCTTAAAAATTAAAAATTTGTTGAAATCCACATGATCTTTTTGTTGTTGTTCTCTGTGTTTTCCAAAAAAAAAAAAAAAATCATTGTCAGATACAATACCATGAACAACTCTGAAATGCCTTAATCCAGTTCCAAACTCCTCCCCACACAGGCTCAAGGTCCACCCCTCGCTCTCTCTTCCCAGAATGTTCTTTTCTAGCCTTTTCCCCTGGGTCTGCTGCTGCTGGGATGAGACTGTTTCTGTTTCTTAGGATCCATCAAGTTTCCCCCAAACCTTCTCCATTGTTAGATCCCTCTACCAGGATCCTCATACTGACCAGCAAGATTTCTAGGCACAGGTGAGTCTTTCCTACTTATTGTGATTTGACTAAATGGATTTGTTGATCTCTCGCAGTTTGTTTCCCTCCCTGCCCCGCCCTAATAGCTGCAACTGGGAATACCCTTTAGGCATATTGAGGAAGCTTTGAAAATCTGTCACTCCCTAGAGATTTTAATTTAGTTCTTCCTTGTCAGACAAAGATTTTCTAAGAGACTATTACAACACCTTCTGAGGGCGGTCTAATGTGTATGTCTGGGTTTGAAGATCATTATAAAAATGTCAACTTATATGTTTTTCTCATCTGACTCATTTCTAAAGTGGCCAGAATTTATCTTGACTCTTTGACGGTATAACATCCCAACGTTAGGATCCTCAACCCTGGTTGAGCCGAAGAAGTCCTCCCTGAAGAAAGCAGGGACAAAATGTGCCTCAGAGCATTTCAAGAAAATTCTTAGTTAATTTAGCAATTTGGTTGGGCCTGGTAAACTGCCAAAGAAAAAGAAACGAGAAGGGCCCAGACTGAAAAAGAATCCAGGGTGATCACATGACATTTACTCAGATTTGTTGATAAGTTGTTAACTCTGGAGATTCTTACAAAATTAGTTTGCTTGCTAATTAACCCTGTACATCCCACTCAGGACCCATTTTTCTCCTCTAGATTTGGTTACTGAAGTTTGGAGCTGGCCTTCCAAGTCTTGTGATCTGCAGCAATCATTTTACAGATGAGGAAACTGAGGTCAAGAACAACTGTAATTTAATAAAAGTCCTATAGCTAAATAGAGGAAGAAGAGGGCAGGAATCCAGTGACCTTCTGAGAGCCAGTGTTCCCCCAGACACAACTACTCTCACCTATTAGAAATTTGATTTGAAAAGTCCTCTGATAACTGCCAATGTGCAAAGTGACAGTTTGGTGGATGCCCCAAAGAAACTGAATTTTGAAAGTGCTAGAGGTAAGTAATTGGTGATTTGTTTATTAGGTTCCTTTATTAATGATTAGCTCTGGATCTGGCATATGGTAAGAGTGCAAAAAAGAATCACAGTTATTACTAATGGAAACAGTCTTCTAAAGTCAGCATACTGCAAAGCAGAAACACCATGAGGTTTTCACTATTTTCTTTCTGAACAGAGAGAAAAATGTATTGTGAATTGTAATTGATGCATTGGTTAGGGACTCAGTTTTTTTGCAGTTTAAATAAATATTTAACTTATTTTTTTCTTCTACTGCTGTCTTACTTTATTACTGAGGTAAGCATCTTTTGAGATATTTATTGGTTATTTAAAATTTCTTCTTCAGCAAAATATTCTTTATACTTTTGAGTTGCTATCTCATAAAAGCTTTCACATATTGGAAAAAAAAAACAATAACCTCCCCCTCTTCTCCCACATATTGCAAATACTTTTTCCTGGTATGCCTTGTAACTTTCTAGCTCTTTCTTTTCACGTCTAAGTTTTTGTTTTGGGGGGGAGGAGGGAGGCTTTTTTTCCCCCCATAAAGTAAAGTTTCTTTCTCACTTTTAACTCCAAAGTTCATTTTCTATAAATCAATGCCAACCAACTTGGTGTAGAGAGCCACATTTTATCTGTGAACTGGAAATGTGAAATAATTAGATAAGACAGGCGACAAAAAGGCTTGCTTACATGCTCAGAGTGGTTAGAGATATTTGTACTGAGGACAAGCTTGAAGACAAACATACTGATCTCTGATTCTTAGTACCAGAACATAAGGAGAGTGGTTTTTACCACATTGTCACTTTCTTCTGAACTAAATGGAAGATAAATTTATTGCTCTGTGCCAGAATAATTCTGTTTATTATGACACATTTTTCTTTTAAGTCTAGAAGAGATCAAATCTTGATCTACTTAAAAATGAAAGTGAACTGGACATTTACACTGGTCAGTGAGTATACTGCCCACCAATGCTATTTATAACATTTCATAATTTGAGAAATGTGAACAATCGCATTTTCTTTGAAGGAGATCAATTTTGTATGCCTTCCATAGATGGTATTTAACACTATCTAATATCTAACAAAAGTAGTCTACGTATGTATGAAAAATTTTTGGTGGGTGGATTAATTGCAAAGTAAAACAAAAACAATTCTAGCTAATTTAAACAGGAAAGAATTTCAACCCAGGCAAAGATCTCATGAAGGTACTAGCTGCCCTGAAGATCATCAGACCTCTGATCATAGAACTGAGGCATCTGGAGGGGGAGGGAATGGGGAGAGAGCACAGTGGACTATGGTGGTAGACTGTGGGTGTTTGGTGTTGGGTGTGCTATGGTGACACCTGGTCTGGGGAGGGGGACTTGGGGATGTCTGATAAACACACAATACTCTCAGGTATGTAAACCAATGGTACTTCAATAAAATTTTTTAAAAAGGATAGCTTTCAACTAGCTACAAAGAATTTGTACTTCTAAATGTTTAAAAAGAAAAAGACTACTTACTCTATGCATAGAATGGCAAAAAAAACAAGATTTATATTTTTCTGTTGTAGGTGCTTTATTCCTGAAAATGATATTCGACAAAGCAGTCAACCCTGGAGAGGTGACTACATCTCTCATAATTTTTGTGATCATTTTCATGTTTGTAAGAGCCCTGGGGAATAAGAGTAGAAAGTATGTCTCTCCTCCTGGCCCACGATCCTTTCCCATCATAGGAAATCTTCTCCATCTTGGAAGCCATCCTTATCTTACATTCATGGAGATGAGGAAGAAATACGGAGATGTCTTTCTTATCAAACTTGGCATGGTGCCCGTTGTGGTGGTGAATGGGATGGAAACAGTAAAGCACGTACTACTCAAGGATGGAGAGCATTTTGCCGGCAGACCTAATATGCATACATTTTCTTTCCTGGCAGAAGGAAAGAGTTTATCATTTTCAGTCAATTATGGAGAGAGTTGGAAGCTTCATAAGAAAATTGCCTCTAATGCTTTACGAACATTTTCTAAAGCAGAGGCAAAGTCCTCTACTTGCTCTTGCTTACTAGAAGAACATGTCGTCTCCGAAGTTTCTGACCTGGTAAAAGTCCTTACAGAGCTGACTTCCAAGAACAGTAGCTTAGACCCCAGAAGTGCTATCACATGTGCAGTGGCCAATGTTGTCTGTGCCCTTTGCTTTGGCAAGAGATATGAGCATGACGACGAGGAGTTCCTTAGAATAATTAGAACAAATGATGACTTACTCAAGGCCTCCAGTGTGGCTAATCCTGCTGATTTCATACCATGTTTCCGTTACCTCCCACTAAGAATTATAAATGGTCCCCGGGAGTTTTATCAGGCCTTGAATCAGTTTATTGCACTACAGGTACAAGATCATCTTACTACATATGATAAGGTAAGGGTTTAAATTCATTTAAGACAAAGGTTTTGTTGAGAAGTAAAAGATAATGATAAAATGCATTGAACACCCAGAAGGTTGAATGTATTCTTCCTTTTTTTTTCATCATAATTATGCCCTAATGAGCCTTATCCAAACTATTACTAAATGGAAGTCTAGCTGGTGAGATTACATGACTTATTTCTTGCATAGAGATACCTTAAGAAGAGCTCTGAATGTTTTGAGGTCTCAGAAATTTCCTCAGTGTGTAGATATGCCCGTGTTAGAATGAGGAATTTGTAATCAGCTGATAGACGATGACCAACACGTAGGTGAGTTCCTTGAAGAAACGACCTGATGATTTTGTCTTTTTCATTTTACATCTGAAACTGTGTTCTCATATTGAAAAGTATCAACATATTTTTTTTCAGAAAGTGTATTGAATGATTTTAGAGACCATTCTATAGGCAGTTTCGAATTTACCCTCATAACCTACTTGAGTTCCATTATTATACAGAAATGACGTTTGAGAAGATAGCAAAGAACTTTAGAAAGATTTTATAGATGTCAATCCACTGAAAGATTCTGATGCAATTCGATGGTCCACAGAAGAGTAAATTTCTACCTTGACATTTGTTACTAGAATGAATCCTAGTTCTTAGCTGCCAGTTTGCTAAGAGGAAAACAGGAAAAAATACAAGATGTAAAAAAGATTGGTAATTGAGCACATGAAAAGGTGTGTGGAGTTAAGCCCCTCTAATGGAAGGAAAAGGCAGAAAACAATCTGTTTCAAGGTACCAGCTGGAACAAGTAGAACCGGTAGAGTAAGTAAAAAGAATTTGTAAACTTTATCATCTAGTTTTCCCACTTCCTAAGTATCCAGTAAAACCTTTACAATAAAAACTTATTTCCAAACGGAAATCCCATTATAGTCATGTCCTAACAATTTCTCTGTAAGTTAACCTCTAATTTTTAAAAGTGTGCTTCCAGACATAGGTATTGGTTTTTATTGATGAGAAAAACTTTAAGAAAAAAATTAAGTTTCGTGGCTTAATTTTCTATTTTACACTCTAAATTGGTTAATGCGTGGAAAATGATCTACTTAATATTTTTCATATTCCTAAGCTAGTTGGTTTCATTTTATATTGCATGGCGATGTATCTTCTTGCTGAAATTCCTACGTGATATGAAATTTAGAACAGATAAGTTATCATGCTTAAGCTTCACTTTTCAGGACCATATCCGAGACATTACTGATGCTCTGATTAATGTATGCCACAACAAATACGCTGCTATCAAAACAGCCACCTTAAATGATGATGAAGTCATAAGCACCATGAATGACATCTTTGGAGCTGGTATGTGAGAGTATTTGTCAAATAAAGATTAATTTGCTATTATTGTTTACAATTTAGAGCGCTTCCCTTTTTTAGTATTGGCCATTTTATATAGATGATTTCAAGTTGTTTAAATAATTTGATATTCTTCCTTCTTCCCATGTCATTTAAAAAAACTTAGCTTTCATCTGGGTAGAGATGTGAGTTAATCATAGTCCCTAGCTTGTGTGCATTAAATATCATCATTATTCATGTAATCCATGGCCTTGTTCATTTATTTATTATTTTTATCCCCAATGTCTTCTCCCAGTCCTTTCCCCAATTCATTGACATTTATTCTTAATCTGTTTAAAGTGTTCCTCTTTTGTTTTATGCATTCTTATATAATAGGTTTACATTGTCATGCATTTTATATTACCAAGAGCTTTATGTAATTACCATGCTTAATTATATATCAATCTATTGCTACCTTTTACATGATGCCCTATATGTTTAAGATCCATTTATGGTTTCCAGATGTATTTCTAATTGCTGCTTCTTGTGGTTGGATTATAGTATGTTGTTCACCCACATTTAATCCTGTCATGTATTAGTTTTGCCTCCTTTGGAATAATAGCCTTATGCAAAGAAGTAGAATTTCTGGGTCACCTAGAAAGGATTCTTGAGTTTTATTTATAAATTATCAACATCGTTTTCAGAAAACAGTACCAATTTATACTGCTACTATATATTACTGTCTTTCTTAAATTTCATAGTTTTTTTAAAATTCATCTCTATCTATCAAATTTCTCACAGATCTGAAAGATACTAGTCTCCAGGAAGGGAGACTAATTCCCCTAGTATAACAATAGCAACAAATACTGAACAATGTTTTACCAATCTCATTTTAGATGGAATAGCTCTTCAAATTTCATTATTCATTTCTTCTTTGTAATGCATTTTTGGCAATTGTGTTTATTTTCTCTCTAAGATCTATGCATGTGTATTTTTGAGTTTTCTTTGCAAACAAAGGCATTTGTTTTGATTTGTATTATTTTCCCTCATGTTAATACACCCATTTTTCCTCCCTAAATGCCTATATGTATTTATTATTTTGATTGTGATTTAAAATTTCACTGGTTATTTAGCATATAAATGTGATCATGCTATACTAGTGTTTCTTCTGCCAACTATCTGATGCTAAATACTAATATTAGAATCTGAGGCCAAACACTAAAGTTAGAATTTGTGAAGACTTTTCTACAGCTCTGAACACCAGTGAATACTAAAGATTGGGTGTGTGGGAATGTGATTAACATATCAAGCGGATTTTATTTTCATCTTGATCTGATGAGATAATATCATTATTTATTTCAGAAATGGGCAATACCTCCAAGGTCCTGAAGTAATCAAAAAATATCAAATTATAGTAGATAACAAAAAATGACTGTGATACAGCTTAACATCATCAGCTATGCACCACACAGTGCAAAATAGTTTGGATAAAATAGGTACAAAACAAAGAGTATTCTGTATAATGCAATACTGCATAAAGCATTTATTTACTCAACAAGCATCTCTAATAGAATTTATATTTTGATTTCAAGTAAGAATAATAAGAAAATTAATAAAATTTAAATATTGTTAGGTGCCTGCTACCTCACTAGTGATATCTAACAAAATACTTTACTAAGGTAAAATAGTGAGTTCTATTCCATTTATTTTAGTGGATACAATTTGCAAGTACACTCTTCATCAAATCTACCATATTATTAATATTGCTATTTCCATATTTGACTTTTTGACTTCATCATAGAGATAATTTGGATTCTCCTTTGAGTGTAGTTAGTTTTTCCCAAATTCATTAATTATAAATTCAATTTTTATGTACTCTTCCAATATAAATAATAGCTTGCTTAAGTCCTGGTACAGTAATTAAAATAGTAATCCTGTTATTTATACAGATAGTCTTACGTATTGGCTTTACGTTCCATGACTCTACAATGTGCAAAATCAGTGTTTTTCATGCAATATTCATAATTTGTTCTTTTCTTTTTGTTACAAAGTAGAGTCAATACATTCTTCATCAAAGTCCATATTTTCACAAATACTGTATTCTATTATAGACATCATGGTCATCAATTTCATTTGGATACTTTTACAATAAGTTTTTGCAGCATGAACTCAAGATAGAAATTTTGTGTCTTGGGAACTATAGAAGCTACTGGCTCCTTCTGAGAGATTGTCTAGTTCATGATATGAAAAACAAGTCTTGAGAAGAGATGGCTGCTTGGATAATTCGAAGTTTAAGTTCTGGTTCTGCTTTGTCTCAATTGTCACCTCGAGGAAGGCCTATAATGTCCTTTGAGGCAATGTTTTCCCTTCAGTAAAATGAGCCATATTTGTGTAGACTTTGCAATTTATAGTGAAATATTTTCAGTGTTTTACTTGCCCTATAAATAACATCTATGTTTTTAAATTTTTTACTTTGCTATAATTACAAATACATAGCACCCAATTTTATTGAAAGTATTTAAATTGAAATACTTAAACATTTTTAAGTGTACATTTCAGTAGTATTATGTATACTCACATTACTGTCTAACAGCCATCTAAAACTTTTTCATATTATAAAACTGAAATTCTTTGCCCATTAAACACAAATTTCCTCTCCTTCCTCTTGCCAACTTCAGGCAACCTCCTGATTTTTTTTTTAAAGATTTATTTATTTATGCATATAAGAGCTGGGGTACAGGCCAGAGATGTGGGGGGTGAGAGGATTCACCAGAGACAGGGTGGGGAACAGAACAGGAAGACCGACAAAATACACTGCTGAGGGGAGCAGTGGGCGAGTCAGGAGAGGTCTGCCGTGCCATGTGGGTTGCTCCCTGACCGGCCCAGGATTGAACTCGTGCTGCAGAGGCTGCAAATTGCTTCATAATGTGGTGCTTAACCCCTTGTGCCACCAGGGAGGCCCTGGCAACCTCCTTTATTTCTACTGTTTTTTTCTCTGATTTTTAACAACTCTAGATATTTCACATTAGTAGAATCATACAGTATTTGTCCATTTATGAGTAGTTTATTTCATTTAGCGTAATGTTCATCTATATTGTACTAAGTGACAGAATCTCCTTTTTAAGGTTATATAATATTCCACTGGATGTATTTATTCATCACATTTTGGTTATCAATTCACTTGTTGATATTTGGGTTGTTGTATATCCAGAAGTAGGACGCTGGATTAAGTAGCTATCCTAATGGATGGGAGGTTTTGCCTATATTTTGCAATACATTATAATATATAACAATGGTTTTGTTGTGATTTTATTAATGTATGGTTAATTTTGATCCCTCCCACTAATTCTTAGTATTCAAATAGGACATAATTGAATGTGTGAATTTTGCTAATTTTTTTTCCAGCGATAATATGTCACATTTCTTTTTCAGGATTTGAAACAGTATCAACATGTGTATATTGGAGTTTTCTTTATTTGATAAACTATCCAGAAATTCAAGCCAAAATTCAAGAAGAAATTGGTATGCTTTTAGATAAAAATATATTTACTGTAATTCTCATTTTTGAAATCAAATTTAAAAAAACTCTTCTCTTTAAGATGAAAATATTGGGCAGAAACCACCTCGATTTGAAGACAGAAAAATATTACCCTACACAGAAGCTTTCATAAGTGAAATATTCAGACATTCCTCATTTATTCCTTTTACTATTCCACATTGGTAAGTATATGGTTATATACTTGTAGAGAAGGTTCAGCAAACTAGTGGTGGGGTGGGAGGGAAGTAAGGAATTTTAGACATTAGAATACTTTAGTTGCTTTAAATACCACATTATGCTTATTATTATTTTAATGTTATTGTTTTATTTTAATTTAAAATTCACTAAAGCAAATTTTACATAGAGCAAAGGCAATTTATGACTATTTTTTATAATTAAGCAATAATGCTATTAATTTTTCATCTATATGTACTAATTAAGAAGAGAGAAAGAAATTTCAAAGAATGGAAGATTCATCATAACGAAGGGTCATACCAACTACTAAAGTGCCTATGAACAGACCTATCTGTCAATGTAACCTCGTTTTCAGTAACTTGGAAGTTTGCTGGACAATAGACTGAGGAAGTCAGTGTTGAGAGTATCCATTTGTAGATATTAGAAAGTTTATTGAATCTTATGCCAGACTCACAAATGTATGCCAGTATAGATTAAGTAGATAGATTTTATTAAATATGTATGTGGGAAACCAAAGTTCCAGTAACTCTAACTATTCCATTTCATGCAGTTAAAATGAAAACTGTAATTCTCACTGTTTTTTCTCTTCCCATCTTTAAAGTGAAGGAGTGGGGATGTCTCTCATCTGGGAAGCTGATACAGACTTTTGGCAATTGGCACAGCAATATGTGGTATCCTTAGCAGAGGTCTTAACAGTCAACACCACTAAGTCAACAGGGTTGAGGCTAAACCAGGCGCAACACAGCAACGTGTATTTTGCCTCTTTAGTTTGCTCTCCATATTAGCACATGATTCAGAGTGACCCATTTCTTTCAGATCTTCTTTCTGGTTGAAGCAAATTTTAACTTGAAATTTTTAAAGAGAGGTCCTACATTTAAAGAAAGAGCTCTTCTGTCCAATAACTTTCACAAAGTGACTTTTGGGTGTTTCATAAAAGAATGGCTTATACTTTTCTAAGTAATAAAACAGAGAGTCCCTGCCAAGTTTACAGGTATCATTTGAGATGAAATGAGATTGAACATATACTTTGGGATTGTGAGGACATATCTAAAGGCCTAACTGATAGGGAGAAATATATTTTAGGAGTAGGTGTTTATTATATTATTAAAAGTGAAAAAGTACATTAATAAACAAAATAAAAAGAGCAGATACATTGGATAATGAAAGTAGTATGGTACAAACCAAGAATATTTGCACAAACTTAAAAGACACTTTGGTTTGTTGTTTGGAACATTTCTTTCCTTCTACACCTGGAGGTTTACTACCTTCCATTTAAAATAACAGGAAATATAAAAACAAAAAAAAATTTTTAAATGAAATTAGTTAAAATAAGTTAAATGGAATAATCTTAGGTAAAGGGGGCAAAAGTTTTGCTATTACATATAACATGTGTACACACACATACACACACACACACAAGACCAAACAGCACCCTGATAAATATATATTGCATGTAAATTCAAGAAAGACATTTCATACATGAAGTTTCATACATGAATTTTCATACATGAAACCCTACAATTTATGTGTGTGTGTATATATATATATATATATATATATATATATATATATAGGATCTTTCCTTAGAATAAACAAGAGTAGATTCGTGAAAACAAATGTTACATGTTAGGTCTCTACAACATAGGAGCATTTAGTTTTTTATGTAGAGTAGAATTTGAGCATTTGAATCCACAAAGACAGCTCTGGACAGGAATATCTTGAGACAGACAAGTGGTTATACATAGGAGGAGGTAATCCTTCCAGAAACAGGATAGATTTCTTGTTTGTCCTTCCCCTTTGTTGGGTTTTTAGGGCACTCAATGACTAACGTCCACATTATTTACCAAAGTTCAGCTGCAAGATGAGCATAGAAGAGTACGTCAACAGATGTGAAAATATTAGTCTTTTAACATGACTAGAGCTCAGTTTGGCTTAGTTTGCACAGTTTGGCTTAGTGCTAAACCAAGTGGCTTGGCTCTTATTTTACACTTGAATTGGATACACCCAGTCTGGCAAGACTGTAAAAATCTGCTCTTGCCAACTCAGTGTGTTACTGAAGTAGATGAGATGAACCTTCTCTACAAGTTAGCTAATCAGAAGAGGGAACCCAGAAATGGCTAACCCAGTTGTGTCCAGAGTCTTTTCTCAAACTCATCACATTGAAATGTCACTGCTGCTTCTCTGGGATGGAGTGTAGGGCAAGCTAGTAAATTAGGGCGTGCTAAATGAACACATAATTTGACTTAATCTAACCTATACAAAATTACAGAGAGATGAAGATTAAAGGTTTACAGTATTGATAAAGAAGACTGCATATGAAAATAGAAAATTTGTTTATAATTTTTGTAAAATAGAATATTCTTGAGGCATCTTAGAGATCATGAAAACAACATCATCTAGCTAGAAAAAAAATCTAGAATAGATAAGAGATTTGACCAACCTATCACTGATAGCAGAGTCTATAGAGTTCAAATTTCCTATTTCAAATTCCATTGTTCCATCTACTAAGTACTAAGAGATGCTTTCACTTCAGTTTCTTTTTTTAATTTAAGTAACATTGCTTTATAGCATAATATGTTTCAGATAGGTATCACTGAAAATCAACTATGTAGATACTTGTTTTCTAAATTATTACTATAGGTCAAATACACATTAGGTATAAAGCAAGTGCTTTATTATTTCCTTAATAATAGTTTCTAATGTATTGTGATGTGTCTACTTATTGCCAACTCTATTTTGGAAATATTGAGATAATTTTTCTACTGAGATTTCAACTTATAGAAATACCTTGAATATATTAAATGTTCAATATTTTACCAAATACAAACAATAATATATCACTAATGGGATAATAGATGGAAGATATTTTAATTAATGAAAGAATAAGGATTTATAAATGGTATAGTCATTCTAATAAAAAATGGCATTAATAAAAATAGTCTGAATTGTGAGAGTCAGTTTAGGGGTGGGTGCTTGAATTTGCAAGATGTGTAGTAATGCTTTATCTTGCTTTCCCAGCACTACAGCAGACACGACTCTGAATGGCTATTTTATTCCCAAGAAAACTTGCACCTTTATTAACATGTATCAAGTAAATCATGATGAGTAAGTGTCACTGTGTGGGCCTGCAGCATTGGAAGCGGTGTGGGGTGAAGGAAAGATTACTCAAAGTCCAAGTAGTGAGAGGCCTAGAAGGCCTACACCAGGAAGTGCAGCCCTGATACCTGGGCCATCTCATATATATTTAGAACCAGCTTCAGAGAATATGGGCCAGTACTCGGAGGAATGTACATGTGTGGGGATGTGTTATCAGGAAAACAACATCACCTGGTGCAAGCTAGGGTGGTGTGACCAGGGGCTATTGCTGGGGGGGGCTCCAGAGTTCCTGCTGATCAAAGAGACTATCTCTAGTCCCTATTCTCACCTAACTTTCTGCTAAACTTGACAAGTAAGGCATTCTAGCTGATCTTGCTAATCTGGCCATGTCTGCCTGCTGTTTTCAGCAGATAATGGTTTCCTAGTATGTTCCTAATAGCAGGAATTTTGCCCTGGTAAGAGGCCCCTGCTTGACTGTATGTTTAGCTTGACCAGCAGGAACTCAGCACCAAAATAAAAGCCCCATTAAAAGGAGGACTGGGGATTCCACGAGTAAGATGTCAAGTTTTTTTCTTGGGATAAAATTGGATTGTTTATTATTTATTAATTGGGGAAAATTTATATTCTTCTTAACCAAATTTCACTCATCCTGTTTCTCCTTAAGATGTTGGAAAGAAATTCAGTTTTTTTTTTTTCTCCTCACTGGTATGGGAAGGATGGTATCTAATGATACAAATTCATTTACGGCAAATACACTTTCAAAAGCAGACTCCTCAAGGGAGGTGTGAGCCCAGGACTTCATGGGCTCATCTCTGCATGGGTGTGGCCAGTTAATATTTGAAATGCAGCCTGAAATCCTTGAATAGATTGTAAGCCACCAAGCTTACATTTCCCCTCCTCTTTTTGTTTGTCTGGTTTTCCTCTACCCCAGAACCTAGATCAGTGCCTGGAACATAGAAGTTCACCCTATATAATAGGGCAAGCTGAGATGAAAATACCTCATGCAGTGAAAGTGAGGATGGTGATGATGATGATAGTTGGTGGTAATGGTTCCAGCTAGAATTTATATGTGCCAACAAAAAAGCTTGAAATACCTCTCCTGAACCTTAATAATAATTCTATTCATTGATGCTATCCTGATCCCAATTCTATGGGTTAAGAAACTTTCAGCCAGATTAAATAAATTGCTCAAGATCATATGTTCAGCAGGTAATAGAAACAGGACTCACATCCTACTGTGTAAATTCTGTTTAATGGAAATCAGATGCTCATACTGTCAGATGTGACTAAACTGGGTGAGACTGCATTCCTAAGCACTCAGCATGCTGTACAGCTTCCCCACTTCACCCAAGATCTCATCTGTATGGTGTTAATACTTCAGGCTGTTAAGGTGGAAGGGGATTGTTCAGTGGACCTAATAGTACTTTCACAATCTCTGTAACCAATACAATGTGGAATACACTGTTCTCTGTCCATTGCAAATTAGAGAAATTGACAACTGCATTCTCAATTAGAGAAACTGACACCTGCATTCTCCATATCAAATAAAATTAAATAAATTATCAAATAAAATTAAGCATTTTCAAGCTCTGTATGAGACGAAATAGTGTGAATTTCATGACATTTATTATCGGTTAATATAGCCTCTCGTTTCTTAAATGCTCTAGTATCCCAAGAATTCATGATTATATTTAATATTGAATACTGTTCAAACAGACTGAGTTAACACAGGTGCTAATAAAGACATGCTGTTTGTATGGAGACACTTGTTTAAACTATGTGAGTGTGTAATTCAAGACTTGGTAGTATGAGGAAATTATTCATATTTAATCGAAATCAGAGGTCACAAACATAAATACTTCCTGAGCAGTAGAAAACACCTTATTAAAGCGGTGGGGAGAGGTTATCTGCTCTAAATCACCCAAGTAAACTATCAATGAGCAGAGCAGAACACCATCCCAACATCAATTCTTTCATTTCTAAAATAGAACTTGGAAATGAAGAAGGCCATATGGAATCTTCTGATTTTTAAATGTTAGCAACAATGATTATTTTTAAAAGATTATGAGAGCAAAATAAATTTATTAGAGGACTGAATATGACTTGTAACCTCTGGTGCAGAGAAAACATTTTTTTTTCCTAGAAAGGAGGTGGCATCACCATGCAAATAGACCCCATTTTTTGTACATGTGAGTCCCTGATGTGTGGCTGAGGGGGTGTTAGGAAGCATGCTTGTGTTAGTTCTCAGAGAAAAGCTAAATGTGGTGCCTGTAACAAAAGCTGGAAAACAAGAGCTAGATGCCCAGCACTTTGGGAACTGTGGGCACCACCCCAGTTACAGCTGCTTTGGGGAGACCTCGCTCCTCTCTGCATGATGCAAAAAGGCTTTTCCTTAGACATTTTGAAAGGTGTGGCTCAAACAGCCTCATAATTCCCATTCATTTTGTTTAAAGCAAAGGACAGTGAATAATTATTGCTTTTCATTTATACCATAATTTTGGAATATTTTTTTTTTAAAGATTTATTTATTTATTTATGTATTTATTTATTTATTTATTTATTTATACAAGCACTGGATACAGTCAGAGGCGTGGGAGGGTGAGAGAATTCACCCAAGCCAGAGCGGAGAGTAGAAGTACACTACTGAGGGGAGCAGAGGGCGGCAGGAGAGGTCTGCGTGCCATGTGGGACCCTTGCCCGGTGGCCAGGGGTCGAACCGGCGCTGCAGAGGCTGCGGGCAGCTTCGCAACCAGGCGCTTAACCGCTGTACCACCCGGGAGGCCCAATTTTGGAATATTTTTATGAGAAGTTGATGGAACTCATTAAAATGATAAAAAATGAAAGTTCAATATTTTATTCATTTAATGAAACAGGTTACTTTGTGAAAATTAAGTATAATTATACTAAATTTTTATGGTATTTAAACTTATCAACATATTAAAGGAAAGAATGACATATATGTCCAGAAGTTATATATAATTATGTCCCCATAATTATTTATAAACATGTGAATATATTATATGTGTTATGCATAACATATATTATTATATATTAAATATGCTATTTCTATTATGAACATTGAATAATGTAGAATACATTATATATGATACAGTATATTAATATAATAAATATAGAAGATATATTTGCATATAACTTATAAAAGATAGTCCAAATGAACACATTATATGCAAAACAAAATTACTGTAGGAAAGTTGGTAACAGTTTAGAATGAAAAAATGACTTCTCTTCAAAATTTTATTTTTGTCTACTTTATACAGGACTATTTGGGATAATCCTAATTTATTTAGACCTGAGAGGTTTCTAACCGAAGATGGGGAACTGAATAAAAGCCTTGTTGACAAAGTTTTGATATTTGGGATGGGAATCCGCAAGTGTCTTGGAGAAGACGTTGCACGAAATGAGGTGTTCATCTTCATCACCACGGTCCTGCAGCAGCTCAGGCTGAAAAAACTCCCCCAAGCAGCGTTGGACCTGACACCCATGTATGGGCTCTCCATGAAGCCCCAGCCCTACCAACTCCTAGCAGAGCCCCGCGCCCTGGGGAGTCTGTGCACTCAGTCTCACACTTAAAGTCTCAGCCAGGCCGGAGGGTTTCTTATCTAAATCAGAAAATGTATGTGATTTGAACTCATTTAAGAAACAATTTAAAGAGCATATGCTTAAGCTGTGCTATTCAGTTCTTCCTCTATCACAGTACAAAAGTGTTTTCAAGGTGTCTGGTGCAGCCTCGGTTCCTGTCTCCCAAGGCTCTTTGAGGATAATAGTGAAATGTGATGTAATTCAGAAATTTTATAACTGTCTCATGTGGTGGTTCCCCATGTCACTGTGAGTTTGAAAAAAAAAGGAACAGATGAGTAGACGATTCGATTAAACAGAGACCTTCCCTTTATACCAGTGCCAAATAGACAGGTGTATTTGTTTTACACGAAGTGTTAGAATAAGAACAATGTTTTGATGACAAGTATATTTCTTTACATCAGTCTAGGAAGTAGATACTCAAGAGATACCTAAGGGAGCTAGAGTTGCCTAGGATAGCAGAGAACACTTTGTGGTGGTAATAAATGAGAGGCAGAGAAAATAGCACAAAGGCATATTTCTTCAAAATGCCTATACAAATACAGTAACATTCTGAGGAGCTGGTGACTGGGATAGCAACATACATTTTGGTGGAGACACAATTCATTTCATACAAACATGTTATAAAATAAAATAGCAATAAAATATGCATATATATTTTTCCACATAGTACCCAGTACTAGGTGTATACTTCTTTAATGGAATATGTTAATGAGCTAAGACATATGAAGAATATAAAATGAACTGTGAAAGACTATGAATTTCTGGGTCTCCCTGGTGGCGCAGCGGTTGAGCGCTGGGTTACGAAGCTGCCCGTGTCTTCTGCAGCGCCGGTTCGATCACCGGTTCGATCCCCGGCTGCTCCCCGGCCACCGGGCAAGGGTCCCACATGGCGCGCAGACCTCTCGTGCCACCCACTGCTCCCCTCAGCAGTGTACTTCGGTCCTTCTGCCTGCTCTGCTCCCTGCTCTGGTTCTGGTGAATTCTCTCACCCTCCGGCGCTTCTGACTGTACCCAGTGCTTGTATGTATGTATGTATGTATAAACAAACAAACAAATAAACTTTTAAAAAAAGAAAGAAAGACTATGAATTTCAGACTGAAGCTTTAAAAGATGTAGCATTATAAAAAGACATGGAATTCAAGTTGGGTGGTTGAGAGCCTGTCTGGGGCCTAATTCAAATGAGAGGTTCTAATTCTAACTCTAGTTCAAATAAGAGCAGTGAGAGGTGTGACTGTCTAGGTAATAACCAGCTTTATCTGGGATATGGCAACGGAAGTAGAGAAGTTAAATAACTGGACATTGAAAATTTAAGTCATTAAATACAGTCTTTATTTCCAAATATAAATACTCAAAATTCTTCTTGGAAATAAACAAATTAGAGTACTTGACATTTTTTGAAAAGGCCCAGCTTTTGTGTACTCTGAAGCTGGTGATGCAAAGAAACAAACTCACCTTCTCTCAGCCTCACAAAGGTGGGATTTACCTTCTAACCCTTGTCTCAGGTATAACTTCTAAATCTTCCTTTCTTTGTATTAACTTCTGCCAGCCATGGACAAAAGTGAAAACACTGATATCACTCAAGACCCACAAGAGAGAAGAATCTCAAGTGAGGTTCTTGCTTTTCAACAATTGGTGATTTTCAAAATCTGGGATATTTATTCTTATCTGTCATCACCACGCTATGCTCAAAGTAGAAAGAATGCATTCTTTTTGTTTGTTCCAGTTCTTGCAGTCACTCTCTCCTGCCAAAATGAAGGCCTTCACTGTCTTTGAATATCTTCCATATGTCAGAAAATATAGTCGATGTTTCTAAATTATTAATTTTTTTAGTTTTTTTTTAATATTTATTTATGCATACAAGAACTGGGGTACAGGCCAGAGATGTGGTGGGTGACAGGATTCACCAGAGACAGAGTGGGGAACAGAACAGGCAGATTGATGGAAATACACTGCTGAGGGGAGCAGCAGGCAAAGTCTGCTGCACCATGTGGGTTGCTCCCTGGCTGGGGATTGAACTCGTGCTGTAGTGGCTACGGATAGCTTCATAGGTTGTGTCTTAACCCCTTGCACCACCAGGGAGGCCCATAAATTATTAATTTTTATACAAATCATAAAATAATTTTATAGTGTCACATTTTACATTTAGCGATCCAATGTGAGTTAATTTTTGTGAAGGGTCTAACGTCTGTGTCTCTGGATTCGTTTATTCACATATGAATATCCACTTCTTGTAGCACTCTTTAGTGATAAGGCTAGCTTTGCTTCTTTTTAAAAATCAGCTGACCATATTTATGTGGGCATTTCCATTTTTAGGGTCTCTGTTCCATTCCATTGATCTTTTTGCCTGTCCTTTCACACTGCTTGGTTACTGTAGCTTTGTAGTAAGTCTTGAAGTTGAGTATTGTCAGTCCTTCACCTTTATTCTTTTATTTTAATATTATGTTGGTTATTCTGGACCTTCTTCCTCCCCCTGTAAATTTTAGTACCAGTTTACTAATATACACAGTATAACGTTCTGTAATTTGATTGAGGTTTCATTGAATCAATAGATCAAATGACAGTTGCCAATATTGTGTCTTTCTATCCATGAACATGAACTATCTCTATTTAATTAGTTCTCTTTTATTTAATTCTTCAGAATTGTGTAGTTTTCCTCAAATAAATCATGTATGTATTTTGTAGGCTTATTCCTAAATATTTCATTTTTTGGAAATGTTGATCTAACTAGCATTGTGTTTTTAATTTCAAATTCCCTTGTTCATTGTTAGCATATAGGAAAATAATTAAGTTTAGACTATACAGCTCCATCCTGAAAATGTATTAGTTCTAGATTTTTTTGTCAATTCTGTCAGATTTTCTACACAGAATATGTCATCTGCAAAGAGAAAATTTTTTTTTCTTCCCAATCAGTATAACTTTCATTTCCTTTTCTTATTGCATCATCTAGAACTTCTAGTTCAGTGTTGAAGAGGAGTGGTAGGTGGGGACACAATTGCCTTGCATCTAATCTTAGTGGGAAAATTGAGCTTCTCACATGAATTATATTAATTGTGGGTTTTGTAGATATTCTTTATCAGATTAAAAATGTCCCCCTCTATTTTCAGTTCACTGGAAGTTTTTATCATGAATGTGTGTTGGATTTTGTCAAGTGCTTTTTCTGCATCTTTTGATATGATCCTATCATTATAAATTCCCTCTAATGTTGTGAACTCACATAAAAGTTAAAGAAAGACTTAAGGGTGACAAGAATCTATCATAAAATTCATGGGTTTATTCTAGATGCACATATTTGTGCATACATATCATATGTTGATATGTATATGTGTATATATTTATATAATAATAATTATATATAATTATTTTTTTCCAAGACTGCTCACAAAAATTCAAGCTTCCTTCCTTCCTCATGCATATGAGTGGAATGTGAGTTTTAAAAATTCTTCTGCAACTTTCTCCTTATTTAAAAAGTCCTATATTGTGTAAATGTCCTTTGTTGATCAAGTATTTGTATATTACTATGTCAATTTATCTCTTGGCACAGCTGGTCACATTTCTAAGGAGTCTTCATTCATTGATTTCTCTGTACCAACAAAGGATAATTTACATATCTTATTCAGTGGTCAACACTGGGTTTCAGCATGTATCTTACTGTTCTCCATGACACTTTGGCCCAAGAATTGGGCCAGATTGTTCAGAATTGCCCAAGAGTTTTGCCACTCAGAGTAGATGAGAAACTGGCAGTTTATACCAGCAAAATGAGAAGAGTTTAGCAACCTTTGCAAACCTTTGGGAACTTTCCCCAGACTTAGGAAAGATAAACTTGGTGTCTGGAATAAAAAATCATTCAACATGCACTCAGATGAGCCCTACTGGCGATCCACTTCATTAAGCCTTTGTGGGCCATTGAATAGAATTGTGTGAAAAGGTCTTTCAAAGTTAAAATTACTGTGGACAGCAAAGTGATTTATAAGATGATATTCTCTTTATATAATAATATCCTTAGCATACATATTTTAGAAAATTGCGAAATAGAGCCAAGTACATTAAAACTGCTCAAAGGTGTTGCTTTTCCCAGACAATTGGGCAAGGAAATATGTACCCAATTACTGTGTGTTTGGGAAATTGTTTGATTTTCAAATTTAATAATTAAACTTAAAAAAAAAATCATTTTCTCCATTTAAAGAACATTAGCTTGCTCACTTCTCCCTGTTGCCTCTTGCTCTATACTTCAAGCCCATCTTTAATGGGGAATATTTTAGTAAAATAATAATACATACAAAAATGTGCACATTATGTTTAAAGCTTGGAACATTTTTACAAACTGAAAACACCAGCATTCCACACTCCCCTGTCATTTTATGTCCTTTTCCAGTCTCCAACCTCTGTGCTCAGGGTAATCATTATTTTGACCTCCAATACCATCATAGGTTTGTCTGTTTTGTTATTTTTTTGTTTTTTATTGAGATAATATTGGTTTACAACACTGTATATAATTCGAGAGGATAGGGTCACACCTCTTCAGATGTTTGTTTTCACACACATATTCCGCCAAGCACCCATAGTCCTCCCTCTGGTAGTTCCACCTGCTCTTCAACATTGATATTTTCTGTTTTTGCTTATTTTCTGTATTTTTGTTTAGTCACTGTGATGTCAAACATAACCATTCAAAGAGACAAGTGATCAGAAACATCGTTGGCCTGCTACCTTAAGTGAACTTGATGTTGCAATGTTGGCTACCTCTTTCTCTCTTAATGAAATGAAGCTAGAACAGACTGAGGGTATTCATCCTCTGAAGTCCTTCAAAAGAGATCTCCCAACCCCTGCCAGCTTCCCCCAAATACAAATGCTCTTACGTCATAGTTACCATGGTCTCCTGAGAAAGAAGTCTTTTAATTTTCTTTGGAAGAAAATTATTTTCCCCATTAATCAAAACAATTTCTACCTTTGAGGCATATCTCAATTATTACAATGTCTAAACTTTGCTTTTAATTTCAGGGTAATCTATATGTAGTTATTTATATCTGTTCATCTTCTGACATGTGTCTTTTATATGTTTCAGAATTAGAGTTTTCACTGCCACAGTAGGAAAACAGGACAGAAAAACAGTATGTTCTCTCTATTGACACACATTTCCAGAATTCCTTTTTTTGGTCAGAAATGTCTGACCAAACTTCTGTTTTTCTGATAAAGAAATTCCTTCATCCAAACTTCTGTTTTTCTGATGAAGATACAAAATCCAAGAGAGAATATTTTAAGATCTTATTATTTTCCCATTGTCTTTGTGTTTCTTTTGCAAATTTCACTCTATTTTCTAACCAATACCACTCTGCTCATTCTTTTTTTTTTTTATTTAAATAAATATTTTATTTTATTTATTTTTTTTATTAGATAATAAATTTTATTGTTATATTCCCCATACAATTGCAGCGCCCCCATTCTGACCCCAATCCCTCCCCTCCCGCCCCTGCCCCCCTAAAAGTGTCTCTGGTTCATAGTTTTTTGTTGATTTTGATTTTCACTTTCTTATAGTTATTCATTTTCCTGGTCCCTTATTTAAGTTTTCTAGATTCCTGCTATGAGTGAGACCATCCAGTATTTTTCTTTTTCTTTTTGGCTTATTTCGCTGAGCATGATCCCTTCCAGCGCCATCCATGTTGCTGCAAATTGCATGTGTTTATCTTTTTTGAATGCTGAGTAATATTCCATGGTATATATGTACCACATCTTCTTGATCCAGTCATCTATTTTTGGGCATTTGGGTTGCTTCCAAAGCTTAGCTATTGTAAACAGTGCTGCTATAAACATAGGGGTGCAGGTGTTCTTTGGAATTGATGTTTCTGTGTCCTTTGGGTAAATACCTAGGAGTGGAATTGCTGGATCATATGGAAGCTCTATGTTTAGTAGGTCCAGAAATCTCCACACAGCTTTCCACAGTGGTTGGACCAGTTTGCACTCCCACCAACAGTGCACAAGAGTTCCTTTTTCTCCACACCCTCGCCAACATTTGTTGTTGCTAGTTTTTTTAATATGTGCCATTCTCACTGGTGTAAGATGGTATCTCATGGTAGTTTTGATTTGCATTTCCCTGATGACTAGTGATGTTGAACATTTTTTCATATGCCTGTTGGCCATTTGCATTTCCTCTTCAGAGAAGTTTCTTTTTAGCTCTTCTGCCCATTTTTTGACTGGATTATTTTCTTTGTTGTTGTTGAGTCTCATCAGCTCTTTGCAGATTTTTGTGATCAGTCCTTTATCATTAGTGTTGTGTGCAAAAATGTTCTCCCAGTTGGTGGGGTTTCTCTTTGT